AAGGAAACTAAGCCAGGGTCTTATTTTCACCCCTCGGCTACCCGCCACCCGAAGCCAGCTCAGCACCCCGCCTGTCGGGCCATGAACGCCCAAAAACGATCGGGAAAAATCGTTTGAACATCTTGTCTCTGGAACTCCGTCTAAGAAGTGATGTTCCAGACAGGGACGTGTGCGGCGAGGGGCCAGCTCGAGGGGACTGCAGTGTCGAGCAGCCGACGCGCAGCGCAGGGCGCTCTGCACCATGCGATCGCCGTACGCCTACAATAGGCCGAGCGTGCGGGCGCGGGGCGCCCAGGGAAGCGCCTGAGCACTCCTGCCAGAGTGCGCAGCCGGCGCTGACGCACCGCCACCCTGCCTGGCCACCCAAGGCCTCACCCTGACACGGTGCACGCGCCCTCCTGGCCGAGGCAAAAGGGGCCGCCATGCTGGGGGGGCCCCGGATGGCGCTGACCAGGCGCGTTGGCGTCGGGGCAACCCCTGCGGGCCGCCGAGGACAGAGGTGCAGAGGGCGCCGAGGTATGAGACACGGGCCCTCGTCAACACACGGCCAGATGTCGAGGAACAAGGATCACACAAACCTACTCGGGACGGGGCATTAATCGGTCCCCCCTCGAATCTGCTGGGGGGGTTGGGCACGTGCTGTCGGAACGGGTGGAGGGGGGGTGGAGGATGAGGGGGAGAAGGAGGAGGAGGAGGAGGAAGAGGAGGAGAAAGAGGAGGAGGACGAGGGGGAGGATGGAGGGGGACGGGATTGGGCAGGCTCAGTGACATCCAGAGTAGGTTTTCAGAGGTCCACGCGGAGCTCTTGGGAGCGGCACTGGACCCCCCCCCCTGCTAGCGCCCTGGCCAAGCGGCGCCAGAGGCGCTGCCATGGGGGCTCCAGCGTCTGTCCGAGAAACCCGCGCGGACCTCTGGAAATTCATGCTTACGGCCGGACTCAGCACAAAAGAACATCCTTCAAAAACATGAGACCCTCTGCCGGCCAAACTGAAGATCCTTCTAGGGTAGGGCACCCTCCCCAAACCAACGTTGATCTTATACTTCCACCCGGCCGTAATTGGAGGCCAGGACTGGGATGAAATCGGGCCAGGGCACATCGGGAGTCTCTGAGATATGGCGGCTCGGGAGGATGCATCGGGCGCCGCGGCGGTTTCAGAGCGCTCTGAGAACGCTCTGAGAGCGCCGTGGAGCGCTCTGGAACAAATTACCCCTGCCCTGGAGGGATGCCCGGGGCACCCTGCATGTCACGCTCGCCCCGCCAGACGACGTCGGCTGCGCAGTCTGCCAGCCACAGTCTGCGACGCGCCGAGGAGGTGAGCGGGGGCGGGCCTGGGCTCGGGAGGCCTGTGGCTCTCTGAGAAGCCGTCCCACGCCTTCGATCCAAAACCCCGTCCTCGCCATCGCTCGGACGTCTATTCCCTGCGTTTTTTTGTCGGTGTCGTGCGTGGTTGTTTCGCCACATGATCCAAGATGCTCCATAATATTCCCGCCAACCGAGCTCTTGGGACCGTCTTGGAGGCCACTTGGGCCGTCATGGGGCCCGCTTGGAGGCCTCTTGGGCGATCTTGGGGCGACCTTAGGAGCTTCTTGGGCCGTCGGGGGCCGTCGGAAAGCCGGCATGGCGCAGATGCCAAAATCCTCCAAAAACCAATTGGGAAATCAATGATTGTGGCATCTTCGGGCCTTCCTGGAGGACCTCTTGGAGGCCTCTTTGGGTCGCTTTCCGAGAAGGCCGGGCCTGCCCGGCGCGCGCGGCGGGCGGCAGGCTCTTTGTCCAGGCAGCCGCGCAGCCCAGCGCTCGGCCGGGAAGCGGGCCGCCGGGCCCAGCGCGCTCGCGCGCCGGGGCGCGCGGGCGGGCGCCCTCCCTGCGGTCTGCCTCTCGAGAGGGAGGAGGAGGAGGAGGAGGAGGAGGAGGAGGAGGAGGAGGAGGAGGAGGAGGAGGAGGAGGAGTAGGAACAGGAATAGGAGCAGGAATAGGAAAATAGGAACGATGTGTGATTGAGCTGGACGCTAAAGCATGAACAGAAGGTCAGCTTGGTTCGGCGACGCGCTATGCGCCGTCATGCACACGGGCCTGACAGGGACGGGAGGACGGAGCGAGGAGGGAGGGAGGGCGGGGGGAGGGGGGGGGAACAGGGGCGAGGGAGGAAGAGGAGGGGGGAGGTGGGAGGAGGGTTGAGAGAGAGCAGTAATACATACAGTCGAGGCGGTGACCCAAGGAACCCCAAATAAGGAACGAGGCCCCTTTTTTCAGAAATTAAGCTTCGACCGCCCATCGAAAACTTAAGGAGAACCTTAGGCAAGGTGTGGAACAATTAAGGAACACCGAGCCCCTCCCCAACGCAAAGGGTTCCTTCTTCAGCGCCCCGACTGTATCATAACGCGGCATAGAGGCGCGCCGTGATCTGAGTTTGCGAGGTGTCCAGGGCGAGCAGGAGACCAGCGTAGGCCCTAAGCGCGAACTAGAACGTGCGCGCTTGGCAAGCGACATGTGTGAAGACACTCGGAAAAAAAAAAAACTCGTGGACTCTTACACGGCTGACAGCCGAAGCAGGATTATAAGCCAGGAGACAGGCGAGGGGGCCTGGACAGGCCCCAACAGGCACATCTCGGGCCCTGGGGAACCGTCGGACCGACGTGTGGGGTACGAGGGACGCACAATGAAGTTCGACCTGGACTAGATCACACGGAAAACGGTGCAATCCCAGAGAGGACAGGGCAGCGGCGGCAACAGCAAACTCAAGTCTGGAAGTCCCAGTAGACAAAGACCTGGACTGTGACCACATCCCAAAAACAAAGTCATGCCAAGAGAGGGTCATCAATCCACAAGTGTATAAAGTAGAATATGTAGAGAACTCCACCGCTTGCCTCAAACCTCCTGTCCCGATGTTGCTTGGTTTTCTCTATCGGCGAGCACGTGCGATCGTGATATCTGCACTTGCCAAACTGCAAACCTACTCTCCGGGCCGTGCTCTTCTCCTAAGAGCGAAATCTCCAGTCGGTCGAAGAGGCAGGTCGGGGCCACAAGCTGGGTCCGCATCACCGTCATATCTTCAGTGGGTTCGTATCCAAGCTCTTAGAGCGTACGAACAGCTTGGGCGCCAAGACCTACAAGGACATCAACAAGTGGCACAAGGAGTGATGGTGCAAGGCCGATCTTGAGAACTGCTGGTTCCAGATAATTACGCCTGTTTCGCATAACGAAGTGCTGCGACCAGGGCAAGAAGAAGATACATCTCGGGATCGTGAACGTGGATCTGACGAAGATGCTCGACGAGAGTGCCTCCAGCGGGCCCTTGGTGCCTTCGGGCACTCGTTTGCGCCACCTCTTACAGCGGGCGCTCAGTGAGGTCGAGGCCGAGCTCGCGGTCGGGGCCGCTCCACCAGGCGCCGTGGAGGAAATGATTCAGAACGTACTTCCTGAGTGATCGATGATTCTTGCCGGGCCTGTGCGCATTCCATATCATGCTCATGATGATGGGCACCTACATATCTCATTCCATATCGCCGTGGATCTTGTGTCTACTGGTGGCAAGTACTATCGTTATCTTGGCTGGGTCCAATACACTTCTTCAAACGCTCTGACCTTCCTCTGTGCAGCGGCAGTACCTGTCTATGGGAATGGCGATCGGCTGCTTACTTCATATGAAATGGGGGGAGGGGGAGAGCGAAGGGAGGACAGGAGGAGGGCGGAGGGAGGATGGAAGAGGAGCGAGGACGAATGGACTGAGGAGGGGAGCTTCAGGCGGCTAGCCAATCTCCAGGATCTCAAACTTGGCCCCCTTGTTGAAAGCCTTGACGCCCTCGCGAACCCGCTGGCCCCCAAAAAGGGGGGGGCGACGGCTGGCGACCCATCCACCAAGAAGGTGCCCTGCTGTCCCTTGTCGTCGTCGTCGTTCTCCTTATCCTCCTCCTCCTCATCTTCCTCCCCATCCTCCTCCTGCACCCTTCTCCTCCACCCTCCTCCCCCTCCTCCTCCTCCTCCTCCTCCTCCTCCTCCTCCTCCTCCTCCTCCGTTCCTTGTCCTTATAGGTAACTCCTCCCGGGCGCCCCCAAGAGGCCAGTTTTTAGGGCGGACCGGGCGTTTCACCTGAGGCTTCCTCACCATGTGTGACTCTGAAGCGTAAAAAGTGGCAACAGCTTCACAGATGGAGGGCGGGTCGTTTTCAACATGTGGCCCTCGCCTCAGCGCTGCGCAAACTCGTTTGACAAATTGCAACAGTTTCACGGATTGAGGGCGGGTCGTTTTCAAGATGTGGCTCTCGCCTTAGCGCCGCGCACATACATTATAAACAATTGCAAGAGCTTCACAGATTGAGGGTGGTTCCTTTTCAAAATGTGGCTCTCGCCTTAGCGCCGCGCACATTTGTGTTTTTTTTTTTTTTACGAAAAAACACTTGCAAGGGTTTCACGGATTTAGGGCGGTTCCTTTTCAACATGTAGCTCTGGCCTTAGAGCCGCGCAAACTCGTTCTAAAACTTGCAACAGTTTCACATATTGAGGGCGGGTCCTTTTCAAAATGTGGCTCTCGCCTTGGCGCAGCGCACATTCGTTATAAACAGTTGCAAGAGCTTCACGGATTGAGGGCGGCTCCTTTTCAAAATGTGGCTCTCGCCGTAGCGCCGCGTACATTCATTATTTGCTAAAAAACAAAAACCAGAGTTTCATGTATTCCCATTATCCACGTACCATCATGACGTTTTGGAAGGATTCAGGATTATACGGGCGCAACAACTATGTTGATTCGATGTGTTGAGATCCCACAGAATGGCGTTCTAGCACGGTTCTGGATCGTCAAGACGCAGCAGTCAGGTTGTTGAGACGTGGCGTTGAAATCCCGAGAACACTGTTTTGGCACGCTTCAGGACCTTCAAACTGTTGTGTTCCAGCGAGGCAGCTCCCTCAATGGAAATGAACCGTTGTAGGGGCCTATGACGAGGGAGCTTGGAGGGAGGGTTAATTCCAAAATCGTTGATGACTCTTGGGTTTCCACTGGTCCTCCTCCTCCTCCTCCTCCTCCTCCTATCCTCCTCCTCCTCCTCCTCCTCCTCCTCCTCCTCCTCCTCCTCCTCCTCCTCCTCCTCCTCCTCCTCCTCCTCCTCCTCCTCCTCCTCCTCCTCCTCCTCCTCCTCCTCCTCCTCCTCCTCCTCCGGCTGCTGCTCCCCCTCCGCCAGACCCCTCCCCATCGGCTGACAGCCCGGGCGAGCAGCTATGTCCAGAGCTGGCCTCGATGGCCCTAGACACGGACCAAGCACCCTGGGCTTCCAGTGGACACATGCTGCTGGAGCTGGAGGAGGAGGAAGAGGAGGAGGAAGAGGAGGAGGAGGAAGAGGAGGAGGAGGAGGAGACCCTTGGTACCGCCCGCCTGCCCATGGGGAGGCCCTCCGCGCGCGGCCCTCCCTGCCTCCCTGGCTGCCTCCGAGTCCAGTGGACACATGCCGCGACCGAAGGCCAACCGCCAAGTTTGTTCTGCTCCACTTGTGGGGCTACTCCAGATTTCGTAATACAAGGGAGGGGGTCTGGACCCTCCAAGACAAGCCATTTCAGACCTCCCCCGTGGGAGAACCCTCCAAAACATCGTCCCCAGACCCCCGCAGGCCCTCCAAGATAGCCTGGAAGAGACCCCCCCCGAAATGAGACCCCCCTCCCTTTATTACGAAATCTGGAGTACGCTACCATCTCGCAAGGCTCCAGAGGGCTCCGTGCTGCCTGCCTTGGCTCCCAGCGGGCCCGGGTGGACCCTGGCAAGAAGCAAACGAAGGCTGTTCTCAAGGCCAAGCACCAGAACAGACCTCTCACACTGGCCCCCCGGAGGACTCCCAGTGGGGCGGCTCGTGAGTTGGTGGGGGGTCTTGGAACGGTCCCAGGGGCCCAAGAGCGAGAGGCGAGACACGGGCCAGACTGAGGCCAGCCTGTGTTTGGTTGCCTGGCTGACGGTCTCCGAGCCGCCTGGCGGAACGAGGTCGAAGCGCGATCCCTTGGAGAGCGGAGGGAGCGTCCTGAAGACCGGGGCCTCGACACCGACCCAGACGTCTGATAGATCCTCCAGGGGGGCCCTGTCGCGGGCCATGGGCAGGTCCATGGCCGTCCTGCCTGTGGTCGACAAAGGCCCATTCGGATGGGCCCCACGGGGAGGAAGAGTGGTCAGACTGTCGTACTTTCTATCTCCCCCTTTCCCCATCAGTGGCGTACGATCCTCCTCCTCCTCCTCCTCCTCCTCCTCCTTCGCCTCGTTCTCGCCCTCCTCCTCGTCCTCCTCCTCCGCCTCCTCCTCCTCCTCATAATAACAATAATAATAATAATCATCATCATCATCAGCATCATCATCATCATCATCATCATCATCATCATCATCATCATCATCATCATCATCATCATCATCATCATCATCATCATCATCATCATCATCATCATCATCATCATCATCATCATCATCATCATCATCATCATCATCATCATCATCATCATTATCACCATCACCATCATCATCAGCAGCATCATCATCATCATCATCATCATCATCATCATCAGCATCATCATCATCATCATCATCATCATCATCAGCATCATCATCATCATCATCATCATCATCATCAGCATCATCATCATCATTATCATCAGCATCATCATTATCACCATCATCATCATCATCATCAACATCAGTATCAGCATCATCATCATCATCAGCATCATCATTATCACCATCACCATCATCATCAGCATCATCAGCATCAGCATCATCATAATCAGCATCATCATCATCAGCATCATCATTATCACCATCACCACCATCATCAGCATCATCATTACCATCCTAAACAACATCAGCATCATCATCATCAGCAGCAGCATCGTCATCGTCATCGTCATCGTTATCGTCATCGTCATCATCATCATCACCATCATCAGAATGATCATCATCATCATCATCATCATCACCAGCATCATTATCATCAGCAGCATCATCATCATAAGCAGCATCAGCATCGTCATCAGCATCATCGTCATCAGCATCAGCATCATGAGCAGAATCATCATCATAATCAGCATCATTATCATCATCAGCATCAACATCAGCATCACCATCATCACCATCATCATCAAATTCCTCCTCCTCCTCCTCGTTCTCATCCTCCTCCTCCTCCTTCCCCTCCTATTCCTCCTCCTCTTCCTCCCCCTCCTCCTCCTCCTCCTCCTCCTCCTCCTCCTCTTCCTCCTCCTCCTCCTCCTCCTCCTCCTCCTCCTCCCCCCTCTCCTCCTCCCCCGCCTCCTCCTCCTCTTCCTCCTCCTCCGCCTCCTCCTCCTCTTCCTCCTCTTTTCCTCTTCCTCGTAATGTTTTTCCCCCCTCCATCCCCCCCTCACCGCCCGCCTCATCCGCCTTCGCCCTCTCCCCCCGCTCCGCTTCCCCTGATCATCATCACTACCTTCATCATCTTCAACATCGCATCGGATTCGAGCTCGGCAACCCCCCTCCCTCTCAACAACACTGGAACCATTGCTCGACGACCACTGCGCCCCCGGCGCGCAGACAGAGGCAAGCATAGAACGAGGATCCAGGAGGACGAGAAAAAGACAGAGCATCTTAAGCATCTGGCAAACCGTCCCCACCGCCATCATGATCATCGCAGCCACCAACAGCACCACGACAACCACCACGATAACCATTACCATCAATACCGTACAGCCGGACCTGGGACAGAACAACGTCCTTCAACAACACGAAACCCTCCGCTGGCCAAGCCGAAGAGCAGTCGAAGGTACCCTCCCAAACCGACCTCGATCCTATACTGTACTCGTCGGGAGGGGCCCTCCGACGAGTACAATATAGGACCCCTCGGATCCCTCGACCCCTCCGGCCCAGCCCCGCCTGAACCCGGCCCCCTCGGCTCCCTCGATAGTCCGACCTTCCTGTACTTCCCGTGCTCGTGCTGCTCTTCCTCGAGCTCCTGGACCTCTCTCTGAGCGGACGGCCGCCCAGCGGCCCGCATCTTGTCCGCGAGGTACTCGAAGTCACCGCTCTTCACCTCGGCATCGCGCGAAGACGGCACAGCGCGTAAGCAAAACGACCCTCACTAACCTGAGCGTGTTCTTAGGGTGGAGGGCTCAGCGTGAAATCCAGATGGGCTTTGGCACCTCGAAAATCAATCCGTCTTGCGATTAACCTTTTGCAGATTCAAGCCTCGAAAACCAATCGAACCGACATTTCAGATTTCACCCTTTGCCCTCCACCCAAAGGAAATGCTCGGCCAACAGGGGGACACGTCGACACCTGCCCCAGGCTTCGTAGGGCTTCCCAGTGGACCAAAAATCTGGCTCCAGACCCCGGGATATGCGATGGGGGACGTCCACCCTCGATGGGGGTGCGTCCGAAGAGCCCCTCTGGGGTGCATCCCGGGGCCCCCCGCTTGTCCGAGCGGCTGAACGTTCGGGCGGAGCTCGGGGACTTGGCTGCCCCGATGCGCAACACGCAACACGCAGCGTATGGATACGGAGCTCGGCACGTGGACTGAACACGCAGGTCCGACGCGATGCGTCCGCCGAAGCGTGGGCCAATGCGTGGAGCCCACACGCAACGCATCGACACAGACGCCTTGAACACGGGGCGTGCTGCGCTTCAAGACGGGCGTGCCGAGGCAACTGAGCTCAGGGGTTGGGGGAGAAACATCGCCTGCGACGCACTCTCTCTTCTCTCTCTCTCTCTCTCTCTCTTTCTTTCCGTTGTTTTGTTGCTTTGCTCTCTCTCTCTCTCTTTTTGTCTGTCTCTCTCTCTCTCTCTCGCTCTCTCTCTCTCTCTCTCTCTTTCTCTCGGCGAGGGACTTGGACCGGAGGGCGTGCTGCTGCCTCGAAACGGGCAGATCTGGAGCCTACGGCACGGCGGGGAAACAGTCGAGGCTCGAGGCCCAGGCTTGCTCGCCTACGGACTCCAGAGCCAACTCCTTACAGTGGGGAACCGAACTCCATACACCGACGCTTTTGTCTGGCCCTGCATTGACATTTGCACTGGAGGGCGGATCCTGGTGTATGTCGGGGATGGACAGAACCCCCTTTAGCAAAACGTGGTTTATTGAAAACGACCTCGGGCCCAAACCTGGCGGGCGAAAACCTAGAAAAAGACGGCCAGGGCGCCCGCTCGAGAACCGAAAACGACAATTCACTAATCGACGTGTCAGGGTGGGGGGTCTGTCCACCCCCGAGTATACGGGACCCTGGTGTATACATGTTTCATTGTTTCCCGGGGGCATCGAGGAAAAAAGTATACACCACACCACCTCAGCGTCTTCCCCGACCCTCACAAAGTGATGGGATTGGAAGACAGCCCGCCACTTGTTATGTGTGTGTATGTATGTGTTGTGTGTGTTGTGTGATGTGTGTTGTGTGTTGTGTGTTGTGTGTTGTGTGTTGTGTGTTGTGTGCTGTGTGCTGTGTGCTGTGTGTCTGTGTGTCTGTGTGTCTGTGTGTCTGTGTGTCTGTGTGTCTGTGTGTCTGTGTGTCTGTGTGTCTGTGTGTCTGTGTGTCTGTGTGTCTGTGTGTGTGTCTGTGTGTCTGTGTGTGTGTCTGTGTGTCTGTGTGTCTGTGTGTCCTGTGTGTCTGTGTGTCTGTGTGTCTGTGTGTCTGTGTGTCTGTGTGTCTGTGTGTGTGTGTGTGTCTGTGTGTTGTGTCTGTGTGTCTGTGTGTCTGTGTGTCTGTGTGTCTGTGTGTCCGTGTGTCCGTGTGTCGTGTGTCCGTGTGTGCGTGTGTCTGTGTGTCCGTGTGTCTGTGTGCCGTGTGTCTGTGTGTCTGTTTGTCTGTGTGTCCGTGTCCGTGTGTCTGTGTGTCTGTGTGTCTGTGTGTCTGTGTGTCTGTGTGTCTGTGTGTCTGTGTGTCTGTGTGTCTGTGTGTCTGTGTGACTGTGTGTGTGTGTGTCTGTGTGTCTGTGTGTCTGTGTGTCTGTGTGTCTGTGTGTCTGTGTGTCTGTGTGTCTGTGTGTCGGTGTGTCTGTGTGTCTGTGTGTCTGTGTGTCTGTGTGTCTGTGTGTCTGTGTGTCTGTGTGTCTGTGTGTCTGTGTGTCTGTGTGTCTGTGTGTCTGTGTGTCTGTGTGTCTGTGTGTCTGTGTGTCTGTGTGTCTGGGTGTCCCTGTTTCTGTGTGTCTGTGTGTCTGTGCGTCTGTGTGTCTGTGTGTCTGTTTCTTTTTTGCGTCGGTGTGTCTGTGTGTCA